ATCAAAGAAGCCAGAAAGATATATATGTATCTCTCCAAGTCCTACATCAAGTTCTTGTCGTAAATGGCAGTCATTCAGACATACCGAGGTCTGTATATAAGGAGTTGACCGAGGAGCCATGACATGATCAATAGCCTGAAAGAATAATACCCTACATATAGCTATCCCAAAATTCAAAAGCCCTAACCAAAGAAAAGGTTTGATTGCATGGATTCCAATGTACTCCATGAGATATCCCAATTACAGTTCCATCCATCCCATACCCCGTACACACAAAAAAAAGCAAAGGCATTGCAGGTCATCACAAAAAAAGAAGGGGGAAAAAACATATCGAAGAAGAATCCCAACTCAAGACCTGATCATATCCAAGATCTCAAATCTGCCTTTCCTCAATGCATCCGACACAGCGACCGGCGCCGAGTAAAAGAGATTGAAGGAAAGACCATAGAACCAGAGTCCGAGAGGGGGTAAAAAGAAAGAAAGAATTGAAGGTAAAAGACCAAAAACATCTCCCAGAGGGCCTGGATGTTTCTAGTTTTCAGTCCGGCCCTGCTCGGCGGAGGATTGCTCGTAGCTCTTCTTGCCGAGCTTAGCGAACAGCGACTGAGGCTTGCCGGCACTGCAGTTGGTTAGTTTGGAGATCCGAATTGTATCAAGTCCAAGGGAAATCACATACTTCTTGAACCGCTTGCCCTTGATGTCGCTCAACTTCTTTGTGCAGGGGCTCATGAGTTCGTCTGAAGGGGAGACGTAGGAGGTTGGTTGTCTGTTATAATAGGTTAGTTGTATTATAACAAACAAGATAGAAGATTTGACAATACTCACTCCTCGCTGGTCACTTTTCCCTGTAATACCTGGCGGTGGTACTCCATTGATGAAATGTCTGAACCCTTCAGGTCGGTCTTGTCGCTGGCGCTGGTCAAGTGGGTGTTGGTTGAGCGGTCAGCCAGAGGCTGGGCTTGTGTGGTTGCGTCCATTTTGTGGATATGTAAGGATTTGAAGAGAGATGTGTAGTAGTGTAGTAGTGTGTAGCGTGTAGTGTGTAATATCGGAGGATTGAGAGGGAAGAGGGTTTACAAAAACAAATCGGATAAGATGAAAAACGTGTGTGTTGGGGCTGAGATTGTTGGCTGGGCAACCGAGTATGACGCCACATATTCCCTCAACGACCTTGGATATTCAAGTTGGCACTTATTACAGGCTTTGAATTATGGATATCTGAGTTTGGTTTTTAAGGAATGTAAATAACTCTAATCACAGTAATCATAGTAAACAAAATAATAAACACAGAATTAAACTAGTGGGAATCATGGTGTCGAGTGTACACGCAATTGAGTACATAGTACAGTGTATAGATGCAAAGCGCTAGAAAGATCAGAATGCAAGGTGCGTCGTAAAATATGGCTAAAGCCATTATAGCCGTTAAGGGGGAGATCACAGCTCAAGCGACCGTGGATTATCCGTACCCAGCTCATCATCAGCCTGTGTAGTCATATCCAGGCCAACAGGGCGCCCATTCAATACGGGCGGTGTGCTCTGGGAACGGGGTTGTGGTGTTGCCAGAGTAGGCACAGATATAGACTCAGGAGAGGCAGGTTCTTCGACCTTGTCCGTCTCCTCAACATCTCGTTCTGTTGGAGAAGAGGATGTAGGAGTCGGCGGGGAATAGGCAGTGGTCGGACTAGCAGGGCTATCTTGGTCGGACGAGTCAGAGAGATTTCTGCGATGACCACTGTTCTCATGGTATGAGGATGAAGTCGGGCGCGTCGATCCCGGGCTAGCCGACGGGGAGGCAAAAATCGGAGATGAAGACCGCAGACTATAAGACCGAGCGACCATTCTTTGAACGGCGGGGAACTCCATATAGTTGTTTCCTGACCCCCGTGAGAACAGGGCGAGGGCAAAGCAGCAGAGGACCATGATGCTCTGGATCACGGTAACTCTCTTTTGGAAAACTAGTTCGTCTGCAAGTACACCAAGCTGACCGCTGAGGGACTGGACTTCTTGGTGGTACTGCATGCGCTGGTGCTCAAATTCAAGGGCAACAGATTTCCACACATGATCGTACTGCTCACGGAATTCTCTTAATTCATTGAGAACAGTTACGTTGAGGTTTTCAAGGAAGGTAGATGTCTTTGCTAGCTGCCGTTTCTCAACCTTGTTGAACGCATCGCGCAAGATGCGAGACTGCTCCTCAATGTAGAGAAGAGACAGGGTAGAGTTCGACTCAAGCATCTGGAGCCGCTTGTGGACAGATTTAAAGAAGGATTCCTGGGTCGTGGGGTTTGCAGATGGCGGTTGAGTGTTTGTAGGTCTTGTCGACTCTGGGGAAGGAATGCTCTGCTCCTCTTTGGTATTGGTATTGACTTTCCCTATGGTCTCGGGTGTAGCGTTCTCCTGAGTAGGCTCCGAAGATACGCTAGAGACATCCGGAGCGGTCATGACATTTTTGGCAGGCTCGCCCTGCTTTCGGGTATCCTCACCTTTTTGGGGGCAGGTGATCCGGCATTGGTCGCGGAGGGACTGCCTCCAACTGCAGCAGTAGAGTTCTGTTTCGTGTTTCGTGGTGGATTGGTCTGATCCGTTGTGGCTGACGTTGACGGAGTCGCAACAGGCGGCCCATCATTAATGCCGCATATATCTCCATCGTGTTGTTTCGCAAAAGGTGACACGGCCTCTGATACAGGGTTCGGGCAAATCTCACCCACTGTAAGGCTAGGTTCCACCTCAGGAATCAATTCCTCGACCGGCACCTCGACTGGCACCTCGACTGGCACCTCGACTGGCACCTCGACTGGTTTGTTATCCAGATCTTCGAGGAGCTGATTAGCTTCACTGGCCTCCAACTCCTCAACCTCAGCGCGGTCAGAGCTCTCGCCATGCTTGTACTCTTCCATCATGGTGGTACCATGCACCCGAATTAAGCTGATAGGGCAAAAGAACTCATGTCCATAGTGCGTGAGGAATTCAACTCGAAGGTATCGAGCCCAAATAAGCGAGTTCTCTACTGCAAAAGCTTGCACCTCGCGAGTATTGCGTGCCTCATAGACACCAAGTTCTTTCCACTGATCCGGTTTCGCGGGATACCGATCCGAAACACTAACCCGGAATGTGTGGAAGATAGAGCTGAAGAACTCATAGTTTGCAAGGACAACGGTATCGACCAGAATATCATCGCATAGTTCCAAGATAAGAAATTTGTTCTGAGCGCGACACTCATTGAGCATATAGCTATCCTTATTCTCAATCAATACAGAAGAGGAACCTTTGCACTCAGGATTCGTCTTCAGCACCGTAGCCGCGCAGTCAAAGGAAGCATAGTTGAACCGCTCCTTGCAAGTAGTGCCAGCATCCTTACGGCGTGACGCGTCTCTTTGGAGCGCACCCTGCCCGTGTACATCCACTTTGCCTCTTCCATCCGCGTTTGCCGCCTGCCCAGCCTCGCGCGACGGGATATGTGAGCCCCAAGCGGTAGGGCTGGCTTCGGGCGTCTCAGCGCCGAACCCACCAAAGTCCAACTCGATCTCGGAATCATCGCCCAGCGAATCTAGGGCATTATTGATTCCTGTCGGCTGCCGACGGTCTTCCTTTCCAGCTGCCGCGACACGTCTGCTCCCTCCAACATTCTCGGCTGATTGTCCGACCTTCGCTAGGTTCTGCTTCTTCCAGTCCTCAAATGACAGGAAACTGCCACTATCTAATAGCGAGTCTGTATCTTGGTCTTGTTCTGCGTTTTGCTCTGGAATCGTTCTCACCGTCTCTTCTGGCGTCCTGCTTGAGACAGCAGGTGGATTAACGGCCGGATCGGGTGCTGCCGAAGCAAGGTACATATCGCGACCCGGTCCCCAGCGCGTCTCCAGACACGGTGGGAGGTGGAAGAGCTCCGCCTCCGTCTGCCAGGTACTCTTCGCCGGACATCTTGTTACTGGTGTCGTAGGGAGCGCACGCTGCGCGCCGCTATGGGGTGGCTCGGCAGTCGCATTGGAGAGCGCGTTGTGGCAGAGAGCCAAAAGGATCGAGGCGCATTGTATCCAGGAAGTCAGTGACCGGCCCGCGGTCAACATGCTGTCGGTTTGATGATCAGATAGTCGCACTTGTATAGCTTCCTCGGTGAGTTCAAGCTATCAGGTCGACCTGCGTGCCATGCACATTGTGGCTGGGAATAAGAGCAATCAACGCGGGGGATTTGTATTTCACTCTTAGTGCGAGAGATAGCGATTAAGCAAAGCCGAGCTTGGCGACAAATGGCGGTCTCCAGCAAGAAATGGATCAAAGTGGAACAAATGGCAGGTCCAAGTGGACCGGTGGCATCTCGGCACCGGGTTGGCGCTGACCGCCTTTCAAACAGGCTACACCACAAAGTACATTCATGATTCAATATCAGACTACAACTACGAAAGTACAGATTACTCAAAGATTTACACAAAACCCAATTCTTCGCGGATGATAATCAATTTTCCCTTTGGACTGTCTCATATAACTAGTTACAGTATAACTCAAGCGAGAGAAAACGGCCGCGATTGTTTCATCGAGTCATCCTACCAGGATCGACTTCACCGCAACTCATTCCACCTTTTCCCTGAAGAATCCACGCCAACCGTGTAGATCGTATGCTTTGCGAAAGCCTCCCGTCAGAATCAAAAATCCACCAGCGCATTCCGAACCAGCCTTCTAACCTTTTTGTGGTTTTTCGTATTTCCCGTCTCCGTCAGCGTCCGCGACCCTTAGTCTGATATTGTACAGGAAGAAGGAAAAAAAAAACAGTTTGGACGAGGGAGCGTGATGCAATGCACGTGGCAATGCACCGTTGACGACAGACGGAAACGGATGAAACACTCAATCCGAGAACAAAGAGACAAAAGACAAAGCGGAACATTAATTTATCGTGGGTAATTTTGAACTTTTTTTTCCCAACTGAATCGAAACATGCAAGCAGACATCAATATGAGGGGAGAGTAAAGGGTAAGGGTAGAATGAAGTGCGAGCGAATACCGAGCACCCTAGAAGTGAGCATCATGCCACCCACCCACGAGATCCAGATCATCGTCAATGCTTCCATTGTCATGAGGAAGGAAGCTGTGAGAGACATTGCTACGCCAATCCTGCTGTTCGAGCAAATGACGGCGTCGAGTGTCCACAGGCGATGCGGGCTTGGATTTGGTCTGGTATCCGCAAGTGCCTCGACCCCAATCATGTCGTCGAGCATTGGCAGCAACGCTCTTAGGGCCAAACACCTCACGCGACTTGCGGGGCTTGTACTTGCGGGGTTCGTCCTCGGGTTTGTACTTGCGCCGCACATCACCAAGCATCGACCACTTATCAGCACTAGAAGGCTCTTCTACGGAGCTCCGGAAGGGGCGAGGCGTGCTACTTGACGCACTAGAGTCGCTGTCTTCGTCCAGGGAAAGATCACCAAGAACGTTGGGTTCCATCTTCAGATCTTCATCTGGAACTGGAGAGCGTTTGTTGAGTGAAGCGGAGTCCGGCTCGCGCAATCTTGGGAGGGCGGCTCCCTGGCTCTCTTGGCTCCAGCTGCGAGAGTTCTGCTCCCGTCGTTGGGCCACGGCGAGATCTTCATTCTCAGACTCCTCCTCCTCTTCATCCCACATGTCGCACCAACTCTTTGAGATCTTGTCGGCGCCTTTGTTACCAAAGACCATCGACAAAGAAGGGAGGGGCTTTGTTGCATGAGACGGGAGAGATCCGGTGATGGAAACAGGATCAGAGCGAGGAAGAGACGGCACCTGACGCTTGCGAAGGTTGAGCAAGACGAAGGACTCACTTAGCTGAGAGTCCAAAACAGAAGCCACTGATGGAGTTTCCATGCGGGATGAGAACCACGAGGTTCCAGCAGCTTCGGAAGCCGGGAACAGGTCCTCGGTGTAGCTCTCGTTGTCCGGAATGGCAGATAGTTGTCGGATAGCCTGAGGAGGGCTCGACTGGAGCGCCTTTGCCCATGGGAAAGAATCTCCCTGGTTGACATAGGGGCTCTGGAGGGACGGGGTGCGAAGGGGTTCGCGGTTGGCGCTGGCAGCAACCACCTCGCGGTCTTCGGTGCAAAACTCATCGAGAGATTCGTCATCGGTAGTGAAAGAGATCGCGCGGATGATGCACTCACGCACCTCCGACAAAGATCTCTTGGATGGATCAATGGTCAAGGCATGGGTCAGGATCTCGTAAGTGTCCTGGGACATGTTGGGGAAGATGTCGAAGAGCGACTGGCGATCACGCACATAATCCGCAAAGAGTACATCAGACTCGGTGGGGGTGACAAAGGGGTTACGAGCAAACAAAATGTTCAACAGACAGATACCCACAGACCAGATGTCGGCCTTGGCGGGGGAGTATCCAGTCGTGGTCGGATCATATTGCTCGGGGGCCATGTAGCGGTCGCTGCCAACACACGCCTCGTAACACCATGACTCTTGCGTAGCGAGACCAAAGTCGCCTAGCTTCATGGAGCCATCCTGTGTCAGGAAGATATTCTCCGGCTTGATGTCACGGTGATACAAGCCTTTGGCATGCATGAACTCGACGGCACTAATCAGCTGTAGCATGAAATCCCTAACGTGTTCGGTCTCCAGCGGACCACGGTTGAGGCGGATGGCCTCGTATAGATCGCCATTGGCACAGTACTCCAAAACAAGATATTTATGGGTCTCGGTGTCGAATGTGTGAATCAGGTTGACCAGGTTCGAATGAAAACCGAAGCGTCGGTGACACTCGAGTTCTTCGGAGCGATCTTCAGATGAATTCGTTGAGGCCTTGATTAGACGTTTGATAGCAACATCTTCACCGGTCTTGGTATCTGTAGCAAGGAATACCATTCCAAAAGACCCATGGTTAAGAGGGGCGACAGTTCGAAAACGACCATCCAAAAGTTGGCCCTCAACGAATTCCTCCTTCAAGCATTCCATGGTCGACATGTTGGCTTGATGATCTGGAAAAGGGCGAATGCAGAGATGAGGTGAAATGGGGGAACGGGCTGATGTAATGCTCCAACAAAGAGATGAAGTGAAAACAGGTCTATGAGCCGCTCAAAAGAACACTTAAGCGTATCAAGAATGCGTCGAAGTATGACAATCAAAAAGCAACCAGGCTAATGAATATTAAACGAACAACGAAGAGAAGTATCAGGCGCGGGATCTCAAGGTAAATGGAGATGGGCGAAAAAAGGAACCGGGGGAAGTCAGGATATTGAGATGAAGGGAGTCCTGACTGGGTCGAAATGTCATATAAAAAAAAATGTACTGATGAAAGTTGATGGACAGATGAAAAGAGGAGAGAATGATGCCGCAACAGCGTAGTTGGGGTTGTTGACGCTAAGGAAATGGGTAAAGACCGTTATGTGCTCATTTGTATATCGTTTTTCGTTGGTTAACGGGAAGGGGTCCCAGGTGGACGACACGAATGTGTCAAAAGGTGATGGACAAGTGTTTGAAAGTCGGCCTGATACCGGATGAATCGAAGAGAGTTGAGATAAAGCGCTGCGTAATATCGTAATTGGAAAAGATCAAAGATGTATAGGAGAAAAAACAGGAAAGAATCCTATGAACACCGGGTTCAAGGTTGGAAGGCCGTGACTCAAGTTGAAGATAATTGGGATTAGTGAGTCATGAGGCCAGATTGTATTGTTGGGCAAATTGGTTGGGCGAATTGAGGGATCCGGTAGAGCACCCTTCTAATCCAAGTTGGAAAAGCAGAGGTACTCGATGCCAGGTTGCCCCTGAGGTATGAAACTCTGGAAGTGCTCTCACGACAAGGCTCGACCGAAGAAACGTATGATTGCCCACAACGCAGGGAACACCTTCGTGTGGATTGAAGTGACGAAAGCTGGAGGTATGGATAGCAAAATGGCAATCCAACAGACCGGAATTGGGACCCTTTTATCAAGTTGATGGAAGTGAGTCACCCGAGCTCAGGGTGGACCCGGAAGACCGAGGAAAAGGGGTTTGGGACGGAGAGCCGAGAGAAATACTCTTCTGTCAAAGGTAGACCAGGATCAGACCTTCGACTTTGAAGTTGTCGATAGAAGAGTACAGGCCGTCCAGGGTTGGTGGTGTCTTGATATAATGGCAAGCAGACACGGGGATGTTGGTAACCTTGGAAGCGTTGGAAGTAATAGGAAAGTGACGGGTAGGTGACGGGGTGAGAGAGGATTCGGAAAGTAGGAAGGCGGGAAAGAGAGATGGAATATGGGGAGAGCGAAAGAGAAGATGATAGGAACGAGGGAAGATGGATGTTGATGGTATAAGGGGAGAGAGAGAAGGAGCCAGGGAGAGAGGTGTTGTAAAGGCGTGAGGGGAATTGGAGAGGCAAAATGATTGGCCATACGGTAAGATACGGTAAGATACTGGTCTTCCCTCGTGGGCGGTTCATCCGTGTGATCTACATTGTCCACTCAATTGCACCCAATTTTACCTAATTTGACCCAATTTGACTAGCACCCGAGGGTCCTTGGCCCGTTTTCGTCTCCCGGGGAAACTGGTAACGTATGGAATGAATACCAGTAATGACGATGGGTCATCGTCTAGGCTCTCCAAGTTTCATGAACCTTCCAGGCATTCCTTATCCTTGGGTAAAAGACGTCAACCGTCTACGTGATCTCGATTATCATTGTTCCAATGTTGAAATCAGTGTCTACGATAACGCGATAACGTTAAATTATTGCCATTTCCTAAAAGGTTGGGCCCATCACATCATTTACCCAAGAGTCCTATCTTTCAGTTTTCAGACTTCAGACTTCAGACTTTCGAACATCCCAAACTTTCGAGATTCTGGTTCAGAGACAGGCCAGTCACAATGACGGTTGACACCAGCAGGGGCAGGCCCTTTCTGGAGTTTCGTCGGCCGAGGGCGGATCAGGGTGGCGCACTAATCCCAATGCGTATAATTGCGCAGCCAATTCTGGGGGGACTAGCCAATCAGAATAGATTATTCAGCCACTATTTACAGGCTGCATGACGCGATGGAGTGGGATGGCGTGATCTCTTTTGATTGGTTCACCCCGGATACCTACGGTCGGATTTACTTTGTCCGTTCTCGAGTTGTGTACTTTATGTTATGTGCTGTGCCTATGGGAAGGTACCCTTTCCGCAGGTACTCATGCACAACGGAACTCGTTTCGGATGGTGTGGACCATCCTAGACGGAGTACCTTAGACTAGCCTTCAAGGGTTTTGTTTTTTGTTTTTTTTTTTTCTTACTCTTTCCCAGTTACACCACCTGCTGCACTATTAACGTTATTCTTTGCCGCGCGGGATTTATGAGACAAGACTTGTCTGACCCATATGATCGAAGCAATATATGCATTGCGGGGTTTTGATGCAGATGCGACTATCTTCTTTATCAGCGGGAAACAATATATGATCATCACTCAGTACATAGTATCGTGTATATGGATCGGACCCAGTTACTGATGTGTCTCTAGTATTAAAATCACATTGGAGAACCATCTCACTCCAACGACGAGAACACGTATGTTGTACTTTGAGTGGAGCGTGCTGCCAACTTGTCATGAGTCCCCAACCACCTTTCAGACACCCACGCAGTCATTGTCAAGCGGTGAAGGGAAAAGCCCTCGCTGGCCTAACCTTAGATCAGGTTTGACCGCCTCCTGCGGCCTGCAAGGTCAAACCTTGCAGGTCTCAAGTTGATAGGTACACATTATGTACACTGTTCCATTCAAAGCATGCTCAGAAGTACGGAGTACATAGTACCCGAACTCTTGAAACGATAGAGTTGGTGTGGATATGTGGCACGACTTCGGTCTCCGGCAACTTATGTGCATCACGCGACGTCCCATCCATTTTACGTCTATCATCACCCCATTTCTATTCCCATTCCTGCCGGATATCTCAACCCTCCCAATCGAACTCTTCGGCTTTACGTTATATATGGAGACATCCCCTTTCGGTACTGTGTTCCCTGGGTGCATCGTACCTAACATTATCATATATTCGCACGCAATACAGTGTACACAAGATAATCTTTGTTGTACTACTGTTGTATGTCGGAGTATTGCAGGGAGATCTGCAGAAAGGCGATGTGCACGGCTCAGTTTCTGGTCCTGATCTCCCCCTCCATCATCCATCAGCCACTGCAGCTGGCTCTATGATTATCATTCCCGGTCCCTTTCATGCAGTCTCCTCGCCGAGTACAACGTATAACGTCAATAATAATGTCCGTACAAGATATGCTGCATATATAGTATATGATAATACATATATTTATATATTATATATTATATTCAAGACCTATGCGTAATCTAGTCTACATTAAACCCTCCCTAAAAAGCATTCGTCATCTAACGTTGCTCATGCATCAGCAGGAAGCGATCAGCGTCTAAAAACCGACCCCAATGATAAATCCCATACAACCGCCCTATCAACCCTGACCCTAGATATGGGTTGAAACGTGTCTCTTCTCTAGGTTTACGTTAGGGGTACGCTTGCGTGGTTTTGCGTACATGACTACACAATGTCCTCCGTAACATACTAACATACACTGATAAACATGATACCGGAGGCTGGAGTTATCTTCCGAATCCGGCATTTATGATATGATATGAGATATGAGATACGAATTGGCTTATCAAGTCAACGGGGCACACTCCCGAGTGTTGACGTTTTGGGGTAGTGATTTGAGTGGAGGATACTTCCTCCGATAGGGACGATAAGAGAGCCCATCCTCAACCTCCCGAGGTCGGAAGAACAACATATAAATGAGTAGATAAGATGTCCATGGTTCAATTCGAACCTTAGAATCATCATTATCATCATTATCATAATGAGTAGACTATCAATGGACTATCATATCATACCCCGCACGATCGTCATTCCATGATCATATCCGGACGAATGCTGAATTTTGAAACCATATCGGTATTTGAAGGGTCATGATAGTCGATGTGCTATCTAAGTCCGATAATGGTGTGGTGGTAGCATTAAACTAAATGTACATAGAGATAACGATAAATCATGCTTATCATCGCATAGAATACAATATAGGAGAATACGAGAGAATAAGAGAGAATAAGAAGAGAATAAGAGAATGGACATGCCAAGTAAAAAAAAAGGGGGGGGTGAGATAGCCGATTGCTATGGGACCACTTCCCCGGATTTTGGTCTCAGCTGATTCTCCTCAATTGGACTAACCTCGTATGTTGTATATTTTATTAATCCAATACCTCATATTAAACATGTCCTCTGCATATTCATTCTTTGTTCCTCCCTAAATGTACAAACCGGAGCCAAAGCTTTATTACATTCTATATATTTTTTTTTTTTAGTCCGAGCGTGTAAGCCCAATATGACTTCAGATTAGGATACGTTGAGCCGGCGCACTGCATATGGCCTGTGCAACTATGGAGTACTGTACGGAGTATGCTATATGCACATCTCCAGGACATCAACATACATTTGCATTGCACGATGTACGGAATCGTAGGGCGATCCCAGCCTCCTGTAGGTCTCTTTTTCTCCGTGTACGACTCCGCGCTGCTGCAAGAAAAGAAAACAAAGATTGGAATTTTCAAGGTCAATGCAAGGGTCGATATTGTCTGAGGTTTTTTTTTTTTTTTCGGGCGCAACGCGCGAAAGAACTTTCATGCTGTGTCAATAATATATTTACGCTTTACAGGTCGAGTTCTTCGTGCCCGTTGCCGAGTCAACATGGGCATGTCTCCCCTCCTTTTTTGCCTTACAGATTGGAGTCTGTCGCCTTTTCAGCGGGGGAAATTGTGATGATGAATTGACTGCTACCATGTGCAGCATATCGGCTCCTGCCAGCCCCGTTGTTGGAGTTCATCATTAATTATTTTATCCTATGTCTTTATTGCGCCTTGTATACTCTACTCTGTTCGGAGTTCCCTTTATAACACTATAGTTATCATCCGAGCATATCACTCTCGCTTGTAACGATTAAGC